CAGTGTATTTTACTTTCTCTTTAGGCAACCATGTAGTATAGCCTTTTATTTTATGCCGTTTCACGTATTCATGCCCTTATTTTATTTCTGATTAGCTGAGCAGTTCACATTAGGTTGGTAATACTTGTGACTGTAATGACAAGTGTCAGTAGTTCAGTGGTTTCAGGTTGACTGACAGGAAGCAGCAAAGAGTTTACTCACTGCAGAGGAAGCAGGACCTGTGGAAGCTCCGTCCGTCACAGAGTACCTCTTCTGCAAAGTACACTGTCTTATGGCAGCGGCCACACTTGTTTCCTCCTCCTAATGGCATCCTTTAATAATGCATACACAAACACAAACACATTGTTATTACAGCTATTTTTTGTTTCAGAGAGATATAGCTTACGTTTAATTTGTTTGATTACAGTGGTAGAAACCAGCAAGAATCTGTAACTAAAATAACATGTATTTCCTTTCAAGGCATACATATATTCTTGGTTTGAAGGCCTGTCATTTAGTGGAACTACACTTTTTACATTACATTGCATTTAGCTGACGCTTTTATCCAAAGCGACTTACAATAAGTACATTTGACCAGGAAGACACAACCTTGAAGAAAACAGAATCATAAAGTACATCAGGTTTCATAGAGCCAAACATTTCAAGTGCTACTCAACTGGCTATAGATAAGCCAGTCCTTTATTAGTATATAAGTGCTTTGTTAGTAATTGTATTGCTCGAAGTGGAGTCGAAAGAGATGAGTTTTCAGTCTGCGCCGGAAGGTGTGTAAGCTATCTGCTGTCCTGATGTCAATGGGGAGCTCATTCCACAATTTTGGAGCCAGGATAGCAAACCCACGTGTTTTTGCTGATGGGAACTTAGGTCCCCCTCGCAGTGAGGGTGCAGCGAGTCGTTTGGCTGATGCAGAGCGGAGTGCACGTGCTGGGGTGTACGGTTTAACCATGTACTTTGAATAGAAAAACAAATGTATCAATAAACTAATACATTCCTTTACTCAACCATCAAGTAAACACATTGAAAAGAGTTTCTACTGTAAGAAACCAATTTAAACTTCCAGATTTGGTTTCCTGTAATTTTGGCTTCGTAAAGCCAGCCCAGAGACTCTAGTTTTACTCCTGCCAGTTTTCTGTGGCTTTGTTAAGACAAGCAACCCAGCAGTGAAGCAGAACATTCAAGAACAAAATCCTTTTTCCTTGTTGGTTATCAATAGGCTAGAGGTGATTTCCTTGGAAAACGTTAGACAGTAAGTGTAGAAATAATGTCAAAACATGAGGTTTTGAGGAGTCTTAGTTGTTGGAATGTGAAAGACCCTGGCATCCTGCCGGTTTCTACCCAATGTGTTTCCAGGCATGACCCTCCCAATCCATTCTAGTGTATCCGCATCCACATTCCTGACCGTGAAAACCCTCCCTCCTCCCGCCCCAGACTCACACCCTCTACTCTTTGCCTGTGTCCGACTCATGACTTCTGCAGATTTCTTAATCTAAGTTGTAGGTTTTTTCTACAAGTCAGGAAATATGTTAAAAAGGCAGCTTTTTCTGTTGAGTTGAGCTCTAAAAGCAGAGTATGATCTAAGGCTATTTCCAGCACCCTTAGACACACCCCCTGCATTTACCTGACATACCGGACTATCTATCTTTCTTTCCTCAAAAGTAAATACAACACCCCAAAGTCAAACATAACTTCTTTGCTGCTGGCACAAGAATGCTTCCTAATGTGAATACAAGCTCATGGTATGATCTTAAATCATAGCTTGGAGAAAAGTATGGGTGGAGCATTGTGTGACTGTCTGCTGCGACACTGTGACTTTCCGTCATTGTAAGCACACAAGAAAAGGTACTGCTGTTTTCTGGGATGTAACTGAAATGGATGGTGACTTTAATCCCCGGTGATGTACGTTCATTATATATATGTTCTATTGTTAGATAGAACAAATGTAGACTGTTCAATAATAAACTATAAAACCATCAGGATTCTTATTATTTTGCACCTACCATATAAAGGTTCTACCACTAAGGCAAGCTTATTAAAATAAGGCCTTTAAAAAAGTAATAAAGTATGTTTTATTTTGCTTGATCAATGAGTTTCTGGCTTTTTTATTGAACTATTTTCTTTGAAAGGCTTCCATAGTCATAATTGAAATTTAAAAATGTGGTCTGAAACTGACTAGCACTACCACAGAAGTCTGAACTGAGTAAGATTCAGGGAAACGATGGTGAAGCAGAAGAAGTATAGAAAATGAAACAAAGAGCAAAATCAAAGACCTTGATTATTTATGTTCTATCAGAGAGAATACATATTAACAGCACCACTGAAGCCAACTCACAAATCAAGTTCATTTGATGTAAAGGTAATGCAGTTTGTATACTACAGTACTGGAAGCAGGACCTGAACTTGTTTTGCTGAAAGTAATAGCAGACATTTCAGGGATATTGTTGTGTCAGGCATTGATAGAGCAACAACCGTTTAAAGCCTTCCAGCAGACTAACTAGAGCATTTGACTTGATGTGTTAAGTCAGAAATCTCAACTACATCTCACACTCTTTTGTTATTTTACAGCAATTGGGAGCAAGACGATCAATGAGGAGCAGAACAAGAGGGAAGGAGCTTGGACATGAGAAGAGTTTTGATGAAGACGTCAGTAAGTAAACAGAAAGGTGAGAACAATGGGATGATTTAATCAACTTAATCAATATTTATTTTGATTTCTACGGAGAAGGGCCCTTCTGACTTATGTCACGTCATCTCAAAGGGTTAATGTGAGTGACTGGGTTGTCAGTTGTCAATCTGACCTTAAACAGAAAGGCATAGAGAAGTGAAACAAAGTGATAAAGTAATAACAAGCACTCTAACTTCACTAAAGGTTATAAGAGCCATAACTCTGTTTAAAACGAAGGCTCCTGTTGCTGGTCTTTCAGAGGTAAATATCAAGTATTCACTTTGAACATAACTGTTACATTAATTCCAGGTCTCTGCTAAATGATTTAAGGCAGTCTTTTTGAAAATGATTCCAGCTACATCTAGATAATTGTGGCTCTGCAAGTTTAGACATGTGGGGACACAGACAGATTAAACAAACAAACCAGAGTGAATGAGAGGTAAGAAGTGGAAATAAAGGAGGAAGTCAGAACATGAGGTCATATGTGCAATAGGCTGAGAATAACATCAGTAGGATTACTATTGAATTCTATATACATTTCTACACTTTGTGGCCCACACCAGAGAGCTTACATATGTGTGAATACTTTATTTGTCTTGTATTGCGCATTAGTGTTCCACATTGTGTTACTGTTAAGCTGCACACATTGATACAGCTTTACAAACTCTAATGCATGATAGCTGTTCAAACAAAAGAGGCTTTTCTGACCTGACTTGCATGAAAAATACATTCAGATTATGAACGAGTGTTTTTCCCATCATGCAACCGTACAAAGAGCAGGAAATTAGATACAGTTAGAGGCAAGCAGAAAGCAGGAAGCTTAAACAGGCTGAAATATATTTACATTGCTTACCTGCAGTTGTAGGTGCTGTCAGTCAGTGATGATGGACAAGTTGAAGTTTGATTCCTTGAACAGAGAAAGGCAGCACTGGGGTGTGTTCAGGAAACAGGCGATCCAGAGAAAGGTGGAGGAGTTGCACCTTTAAAAGTAGCGTAGTCACTAACCTAGATTTGATGTCTTTATCCCTAAAAAATACAAAGAGACTCAGACAGAGTTGTTCTTTTGTGCCTCTCCACTTTTCCACTGTTCCAGATGGGCTGAAAGGGAGGAGCTTCTGTAGTTCTGAGCTACTGCTGCAGGCTGCAAACCTACTGCTGCGTGTTGAGCAACAGGGGAGTTTCTGAGACTGAGAGAGAGAGAGAGAGAGAGAGAGAGAGAGAGAGAGAGAGAGAGAGAGAGAGAGAGAGAGGAGAAGATGGGAGAGAGAGGAGGGAGAGAGACGAGAGGAGAGCGAGAGACGAGAGCAGAGAGAGAAGAGAGAGAGAGAGGAGAGAGAGAGAGAGAGAGAGAGAGGAGAGAGAGAGGAAGACAGAGAGGAGAGAGAGAGAGAGAGAGAGAGAGAGAGAGACCTTCTAAAAACTAGAGGCAGAACTGACAGTGCCCCACACACACACACACACACACACACACACATCATTTTGGCTATCATCAGCTTTCCATCCAAAATCTTGCCATACTGCCTCAGCTTCAGTTTCTTTGAGACTGACTTTGCCATGTCTTGCTTAGCGTCACAAATTGTTTACACTATAAACACAGCGTGAACCGTGCTCATCCCCCCCCCCCCCCATCCCACCACCACTTTACATGTGATCTCTGTTATGTTACCAGCCTCAGACTTGTAGTAAGTTGTGCATGGCCTGGCAGACACTGGTGGCTCTAGTAGTCCGTTTATACACCAACATCATTATGTTAATCCTGTTTTCATACTGCTTCATGCAAAACAAGTTGGACTTCTTTTTGAATTTGCCAAGAACGTGACATATTGACAAATGCCGGTTCAACCGGTTTCAATATAATTAAACCGGTTAAAACTCATAAACAGGACAAAACTTGAAAGAACAAAAAAAGCAGCCCGACTCCAGAGTAAACACCTTCCAGCTCTTGATGGAATGTTCTTGTTCTACATGATAAGGTGATGAGCCTTTAACAGATAACCAGTTTAAAAAGTTGAATGGTATCAGCTGTTGTCCCTCTTACTCAGGAGGCAATCTCAAAGTAATTCCAGCCTTTGTACTTTATCACCACAACCTTAAATGACCTGTGAGAGGTCGCTGGTAAAGGTCCCTCTGATTTGTTTAATGGATGAGAAACCATTCATAGAAATGGATTGAGGAAAGCAGAGATGAGTCACAAAGTCACTCTGATTTGCCTCTGCTACCATCGTGTGGTCATTGTGGGCACTAACCACCGGTACAAAAACAAGGCCATTGTTGTCCATTGAAAGGGACAACTTATGAATGTATGATTCCAACTTACCGTTTTTTAAATGATTAATTCATATGATGATTTGTTTCTCTTTTAATCTTTCACATTGTCAGAAAATAACTAATCGGGAAAGTTTCAAATGTTTGGCTTTTTCAAAAGCAAAGACAGTCCCAACCTTCATTTATTCTGCTATCTTGAAAATAAGTTAATATTTTACAACAAATACTCACAATTTGAAGCTAAGGCCAATGATTTATATTTACATGTATGCTTAAAACAGGAACTTCCCTGACTTTATACATCAGTGTGTTTACAGGTCTTATACTGTAGATTCAACTTAATATGTGATAATGATATGACAACCCAATGCAAAATCAATGTAGTAATCTTTTAAATGAGGATTTCACTATCAAAATGGTTGCCAGTGGACTAATCTATCAGTGACTTATTTCAGCACTAAATTAATCATTTGTTACTAATACTTTAGTTTTCAAGTGATATTCTATTAATTTACACGGTCACAGTTTATTGCTAGCCGTCTTACCTGCATACAGCAGTTTAAACTGTGTTTTCCTTATCCTGTAATATAACTTGATAGCTTTAAACTCAGCACACAGAGCTCTGATTGGTCAGCAGGCGGTGCGTTCACAGAGTCGATCTCATATCGAGATATGGTTCCAGGACCCCATCGGCCCATTGCATTGTGTTTCCACGCACGCACGCACGCACGCACGCACGCACGCACGCACGCACGCACGCACGCACGCACGCACGCACGCACGCACACCCACACACACACACACACACACACACACACACACACACACACACACACTGAGTCAAGACCCCTTCCACACATTTAATTGACATACTTTTAAAGTGATTGTTGTAATCATTATGACTCTCATCTGTCCTTCAAGTAAGTAAGTAAACATAATTCTCCTTCAGATCAGTGCTTGAATTGGAATGAAAAAGGTGCCAGTACTCTAAAATCAGCAACTTTTTCAAGTCAATTTTATATATACAGCCCACAAACAAGAATTTGGCTACTATAATGCTGGTGGGTTTGTCTCTTTACTACTGTATATTTTAGAAAGGTTCACTGTACTTAACATTTTTTATGATAGGCAGCGGATATGGCTAAAGCTCGGTAAGGTCAATATTAACTGAAAATATAGCAATCAAAGTCTAGATCTTCTGCTGAAGACACATGAAGCAGAGACCTTTCAGGTGAGAGCCCCTCTGGTGGTGTTCAACATTAATGACAAGGAAACAAAGCTCTGGTCAGAAGCATTTTTTATAAAAAGCTTTAACAAAATTAAGTATTTCTGTACATTTTGAATGCAATCTAACTTTCCAACTCAGAAAACGAAAAACGAAAAAGTGCCAAAAGTCTTCTCACATGGCTGAGCTGCTTTGCAATATACTTCACCACTGAAGAATACAAATATGTATAAAGTAAACTATGATGCAATCTAACTTTCCAACTCAGAAAAATGATAAAGAGCATGAACAAAGAACATGTAAAAACAAATGCAAAATTTGCACAATCTAAAATGAGAAACTGTAACTGCAAGTAACAAAGTCTGAGCCATGGTAAAGAGTTACATTGAACACCAAGCTGATCAGATAACTCCCTGGTTGGTCTGAAGTCCTTCTATCTCCAGGATCTGTACAAATCGGCACATTATGCCAAAAGTCTTCTCACTGGGTGAGCTGCTTTGCCAATATACTTCACATTGTTAGAAAAGGCTCCAGAAGGCCTTGGGGACATCATTATCAGGGGCTGGAGCTGGACAGGCTCTTTCATCAGCACTTCTCCTTCCCTTTGCCAGCCAGGACCTCACATACTGTTCCGGATTGAACTGTCCTAGTGATGGTCCATTACATTTAATGAAAACCAGGCTGGACAGTCGGCTGACAGAGAGAGCATTCCTTTTTGCAGTAAGGATATCGTTCATGCAGCTGAATGCCCGCTCACACTCACTAGTGGAGACAGCAATGGTTCGGACTGCTTTCAGTAGAGGCTCCATGGCAGCAGGTGTACGGGATGCCCTGGTTTCCTTGTATTCGCGAAAGCCCTGAACAGTCTCTCTTCTGTCCACTTTCAGCACTTCGCACAAACGTAGCACCTCTACGTCCCCATACTGTACGTCTAACTGCTCTTCAGGCCAACTTCCAGGATGGATAACTTTCATGTCCTGGATTAGCTGATTGTCCCGGGCCTCCCGGCCATGTAATGGGATTTCTCTTGTGCTGACATGAGAGGAGGTTGTGGAAGTCATTCTGTGTCTCAGATTCTCTACCATACTGCGGAAAAACTGACCTGCATGAATCTGTACAAGCCTGCCATTCTCACGCAGGGCAACACCCTTGAAGGACTTCTCAGCTAGAGCTGTATGAACTGTAGTCATGTGTGGGCCAGGCATGGTGACCATGGATTCAAAAACTCGTATTTCTCGAGTTAAGAGCCTATCTGCTGTAGGCAGTGTCATCTCTCTTTTTTGGAGTTGCCGAGAGAGGTCGCTGAGCTCTGTGAGCGCATCGTACATCAGTCCCAGATTGCTGACAAACGTTGCAGATGTGAGCACATCATCCAGGCCCTTGTACTTTGCTCTGTCTCTGGAATCCCTGCTCGTGTCGTTTGCAGCATTTGTGAAGTGATCATGAAGCACTCGGTAGTTTTCCCAGACTGCTCTGACGCTCCTTTCACTTGAAGCCACCCAGCGGATGGACAAAACACGCCCTATCACCAGGAGACGCTGTCCGACTGCTTGCGCACACTGCGCTAACTGCCTCGGATTTTTGGGGGAGGCATGGAACAAGGAATAGAGTTTGTCAAAAAAGATCTGGAAATGATTGAGCCCTGAGACCTCCTTGACCACATCCCCAACTGCCAGCTCTAGACGATGATTGGAGCAGTGCCACACAAACAGGCTTGGGAATTTACTACACAACTGGGTAGCAACGCCTGTTCTCTTCCCTAGCATGACTGAAGCCCCATCACATGCAAAAGAAACGAAACACTGACCTAAAAAGTCCTCGTTAAAATCTCTTCCAAGACACTCCATTAACGCCTTTGTGATGTCATCAGCCGTTGTTCCATCCAACTCGATCAGCTCCCAAAAAAACGTTTCGGGCTCAGCATCAGCTAATGCTGAGCGTAGACACACAACAAGCACCGTTTTACCACTAATAGTGGTAGATTCATCGACCAAAACACAGAGTTTTCTTTGGTTTTCTGTAATGTCTTTTGCCATTTTTTTCTTCAGCTCATGAGCTATGTGGTCGATGATTTCGCCACAGGTTTTATTGGAGTGCAAAACCCTGCCCACGTTCAGCCCATTCAGTTTCTGTACATTCAAATCAATTGGCATGTCTGTGAATGGCCGGCTATGTTTGCCAATTTTATATGCCGTTCGAAAAACTCTGATAGTGGTGTCTAATTCAGATTTATGCATAGACTGCACTTGATGTTGAATAGTTTCACGTGAAGCAGATGTAAGGATGTCAGCAGCTTTTACATGGGCTTGTGATTCTTTATGTTCTTTGATTTTTTTTCTCAGGCTAGCTTGTTGTTTGCCCTTGTCAACACCGAAATGAGACACTGCACACTCACCCCATTCAGTTGACAGTTTCAGTCCTTGTCCAGTGTGTATTCCCAAATATTTGACATCTCTGCATATCCGACATCCTAGCTTCTTATCTTTAAGAAGGAGCCATGCATTGGTTTTTGTTACGTGCCAGGCAGGCTGTGCAAAAATATTGCACCTGGTCCGTTGTCCAGCAGTCAGGTTCATCGCTTTGCCCGGTGTTGGTGGTGGCAGTTGAGCCAGCAGCAGCTAACGTTAGAGGCTCTGGAGGAGGCGGCGGAGCTAGTGCTAATGCTAATGCACTAGAACTTGGAGCAGGAGGATCAACCAAAGAAAGCTCCCCATCAGACACAATTTCCAACACAGGCACAGCATTCTCTGTATTTGAAGTTTCTTCCGGCGACAACAGCTGTCTTTTTGCACTTTTATTAATCCACGCTAACATTTTAGAAATGCTAATTTGTGACGTGACTTGCTTTCCTTCTCTCGGGGGCGTGCCTGCTCTGGTCTATCACTCTACATAGCCACCCACTGGGTGGGAGTTGCACTGCATAAACACAACACACGTGCATCTAGGTATGTAAATTGTAAAGCATTAAAACATGGTTTTACTAACAGTTTTCAGTATGTTGTTACTTCGGCATTATTATTATTATTATTTTGAAACGTGTATTACTATTAAATCACGGTCAAATAGGTTAATTTTGACATAGTCGTTTCCACCACAGTATTTACATGGAGAAGATAAGCCCCGCCCCCTCTCCAGTACGTTCTGTTTGAATGACAGGAGTAAACAGCTGACAGCCGCTGTGAAACTCCAGCGGTTAGAGCGATGAGAATGTCCGTTCGGCACCTCATGACGCATCTACTGAGTACCGGGCGGCTGTATATATATATATGGATGTATAATAAGAACGGCGGGAGAGTGTTGAGTACTGGCACGGTGCATGAGTACCGGAGTACCGCCAGCATGCCGGTACTGAGCAAGAAGTGCCGGTACTCCATGGGTCAGAACCAGAAGTGCCGGTACTGCGTACCGGTGAGTACCGGCCCAATTCCAGCACTGCTTCAGATACAACCAAACCCGCTGTAACTGGTTGATATGCATGCGCACAAGTCCTCATCAAATGTTTTGTACAAGGTGTAATGCCTCGGGAGCCTCAGATTCTCAAAACAAGTTAAAGCTGTCGGGAGAGGGGCCTCGACTATTTCCACTCTCATCTCTGTGGCCGGCACCTCCCATCCCATCCAGAACTTCATGAGGCTCTTAAGCTCAGCGGGAGATGCTGTGTTAAAGAGAAACGGCTGATCAGTTAAGACAGAATCTGCTGAAACGCTTCAATGCTACAGTAGCTTAAAAGATTATACAGAAAACGTAATCATGCGTACCATTTTCAATGAATGTTTTCAAGAACCCAGATACTCGACATACATCCACGACATCGGATTCGTCATCGTCCTCGACTCTGTAGCTCTCAAAGATGAAAGTTATAGATGAAGGCCAGATGATGCAATCCAAGATCATCTGATAACACACATGCAAATTCAGCTGTATTCAAAACAAACTAGTATACATTGTTGAAGATTACAGTCTCATAGGATTTGTTTGGCTAGGTGTTTGCGGCATTGGACTTCTGTTAAATGTGCTTTACCTGAGGTGTGACCTGTGCTTCTGATTCTCTGGGGAACAGGATTGGGATTACATCTCTTCTGTGAATGAGAAGTGACCACAGTCCTGTCTCTTTTAAGCCTTTTTGGAACTGATTGATTTGAGGCCTCGTTCGCTCGATGACCTGAAATACGGGAAACATGACATATTGTATACAAAATCAGTGATCTTCTCTGATGATTTATAGTTAAATTAAGATGTTTTGCGTTTAATTTCTGAACTCACAACAATTGTAGAACTTCATAAGCAAATATGAATGTCACTAAGGCCTCTGGCTTTAACAAAATCGATGTTTGAATGCTAAACATGTTTTGTTAGATTCTGTTGTGGATGCAGAGGGACTCCTGACGCTCAGATTTTGTCCCTCTTTTCTTGCTAACCAGTGGTCAACTGGGTATCTGTTTGACAACATGTGATTTGAAAAAAAGGCTAAAATGTGCTTCTTCTGAGACTTCATCAACATTGAAAGACATCTGTCTCTAAATATAAATATGACTTGATAAGGATGTGAGAAACCCTCTTTGGAATACTTCTTTGGGACATGTTGTAATGACAGTGTATTTTGTGGTGAAGTTGTAGAATAAAGCAGAGTGAACATTTACAGCATGCAGGAGAAGCTTTTCAGACAGCCATTTCCTGTTGGTGGCGTTCAGTGCTGGCAGCTCCCACGACAGGCAGAGCTGATGGACGGCGTCAATATCTTTTAACTTGGCATCTCCTTCAAGCTGTAACAAAACATGATCAGATAAAGAGAGCATTTGAATTGGAAATATAATATATATTTTTCATGTTGACGGTTGAGTCTTGTCAACCTTGACAAGACTGAGCTGCTCTTCCTTCCGGGAAAATATTGTCCCACTCTTGACCTAACAATCAACATTGGCACCTCAGTTGTTTCCCCGACTCAGACTGCAAGGAATCTGGGTGTGACCCTAGATAACAACCTGTCCTTCACTGCAAACATCGCTGCTACAACCCGTTGCTGCAGATACACGCTTTACAACATCAGGAGGATGCGTCCCCAGCTGACACAGAAAGCGACGCAGGTTCTGGTCCAGGCTCTCGTCATCTCACGCCTAGACTACTGCAACTCCCTCCTGGCTGGTCTACCTGCATGTGCCATCCGACCTCTGCAGCTCATCCAGAATGCAGCGGCTCGTCTGGTCTTCAACCTTCCTAAATTTTCCCACACTACTCCGCTCCTCCGCTGCCTTCACTGGCTTCCGGTAACTGCTAGAATCCACTTCAAGACACTGGTACTTGCTTACCATGCTGCGAATGGATCTGGCCCTTCGTACATCCAGGACATGGTTAAACCGTACACCCCAGCGCGTGCACTACGCTCTGCATCAGCCAAACGACTCGCTGCGTCCTCGCTGCGAGGGGGACCCAAGTTCCCATCGGCGAAAACACGTGGGTTTGCTATCCTGGCTCCAGGATGGTGGAATGAGCTCCCCATTGAAATCAGGACGGCAGATAGCTTGCACATCTTCCGGCGCAAACTGAAAACTCATCTCTTTCGACTCCACTTCGAGCGATAGAACTATTAACGAAGCACTTTTATACTAATAAAGAACTGGCTTATCTAAAGCCAGTTGAGTAGCACTTGAAATGTTTTTGCTCTATGAAGCCTGATGTACTTATATGATTCTGTTTCTTCAAGTTGTATTTTGTTGGTCGAACGCACTTATTGTAAGTCGCTTTGGATAAAAGCGTCAGCTAAATGCAATGTAATAATGTAATGTAATAATAATCTTAAAGCTTTTTAGTTAACATATTAAGTCACTATAGCTGTTTGATGTTGTACAAACTGGGTGTCAGTGGTATGGGACCACATTCGCGTGAAAAAGAATCGCAAGCAGCACACTGTTTGTTTCTTTGGGAGGAGAGATCCAAAAACACACCTGAGAGCTTCCATATTGTAACTTTAAACTCAATGCTCACCATTTTCACAGTGTCTCGAATATCAAGGTCAGGGCAGTCCTGCAGTGTCAGAGGAGTGGTCTCCAGCGACCCTCCAAAGAGGATGTGAACAATGGCTGGGCTGAGTCCGGGGAAACTCGGGCCGCCGTGCAGGAAGGTGTGGCCGATCATCCGCCCCGCCACTGCGAACATGACGTTGTCCAGCAGTCCATCTGAAACTGAGGGGGTGAGGTGGTCGGGCTCACCTTCAAATACTTTTGTGATGGCTGCACTTCCTGAAACAGTGACAAATTGAGAGCACAAGTTTAATGCCAAAAAAGTTTTGAGATACATTGAAAAATTACCTTTAAGGCTGTAAGTGTGGATTTGAGTTTAAGACTTCAACTCTTAGTTTTTTAAATCATTTTTATCATTCTTACATACTTGTCCCGTAAATCGTCTGTTCCTTTAATCATCAAGATTTGTAAGCCAGTTTTTTAAAGCCAAAATTAGTAAACCGTATTAGATTATCTATCTTTTAATGAAATTGATAAACAGATAATTTTCTTTGATACCTTTACATTTATATCTTTGATACCTTTACATTTATATCTTTAATTAACAGTAGCACTTGACGTTCATTACTTTTGCATATTGGCATAAATTGGTGCATTTAGCATTAGTTATCTCTATAATGATATCAACTTTTGAGTTGTATTCATTATAGTTAGTGGTCTACAGGCTTGTAACTTCTGAATATAGTCAGCATTGTTGTGTGTTTATGTTGTGTTGTCTAACCTAAGTTGATATGGAATCCACTCATTAGCTTGAAGATAACGGTTGACATCATGTGACGGTCGACCCCACTTCCTGTTGCAACATCACCTAGGAAGAAACAAACATTTTCAATCTTAATCTCTGAACTGATCAATGTGGTGTTTTCTTTTTAGAAGTAATGCCATATAATTTGTAAGGGACTACCTTGAAGTTTGCAAAGAAGCGGCGAAGTCCATCGAACATTGTCTCTTTTGTAGAACTTGACTAAAGTTTGGTCCTGCTCCTCCTTGTCTTTTCGGATGTCCATGCTCAGAAAGAGGCTGTTGGATTCTCTGTCACTGTAGAGAAGGTCTTGAGAAAATAGCCAACTAGCTTTTTTAGGATCTGACGCTGTTCTCCATTCTGAGACGGCACCAAAACAAGTGTTAGTACAAAGGTGAAGCCTAAAGGAACGACTTTTATGTAAGAAGATTAAATAAAATAAGAAAAGGCTACTTATGGTTGTTTCTTCTGTTCCTTCCATTTCTGTTGACGCTGATCACTTGTAATAGACAGTCCCCTCCCACAATCTGAGAGTAAAGCATCAGAGGAAGGTGTAAGGTAAATGGCCAACTGTAAGCAGATCCCCCGTGCTTCAGGTCAGTGTCACAGAGCCCAGTACTCCAGCATGTCAATACCAACCCTGCCTTTAAACAAGTCTTAACTAGAAACAGGTCAAACTGCAGGTCTGCTGTTTTAAAGGTATGCAGCCTTTCTTCTGAGTGACCCTCAGGCAGGAGTGAAAGAAGAGCAGTGTTTACTCCACAACTCTCAGCTTACATGGATCTGTCCATTGACTAAGCTAAATGTTTGAACTACTGGGTGTTGCTTTTTGAGTTTCGATTATGGATACATTAAGTTCTAACTAAACCTTGGTTCGATTTTATATCAAACAAATGTTTTCTGTTACAATTCTAAACTTTAGAATTTACAATATATTTTTTCAATTTTAAACAATTCTTTCAATTCATAAAATGCTCTCGTTAACTATTATTGTTAAGTTACAGTACTACATCCATTTTGTTTTTTCCCCTGCTTGTTTAACTGAAAGATAATGTCAAACACTGAACATTTGATTCTAATGTACAGGTTATTATAGGGAAACATGTACCAACTGTGAAGTAATGTCAACAAGAGGAGCATAAGAAGGGATGAGCTGGGGCTGATGAAAGTGGAGTGGCTCATCTTTAAAAAATAACAATTTACACTGTTCCGTTAGCTCTAGATTTCTACTTTTATGTAAGACAAAGAAATACATCAGTATGACAGATTCATGCAAGACCTGTACAAAGCTGTGATAAAAGAAAGAACATATGAGGGTCAGAAGAGGTTACAGCTGTGCTTACCTGTGACGATCTGTGGCAGGCTTCTCTCTGTTTTTTGTGTTTGCTGTCAGTGTTGTCCCTGGGTTGGGGGGGGTTCTGAACTGCCAGGCAGGAGTCTGCGTTCGCACCGGACGCGATGCAATGTTTGGGGGCGGCACGATTACATGTAAAGTCAATGCAGAGACGCGGACAGACGCGAATTCGCTCCGAAGGCGAGCATGAGCGGTGGACGCGAATTCCGCGGCGCGATTGAGACGTGAAGGGGGCCGCGACAAACGCACAAGTTCAACTCGAGCGTCATATTACAACGTTAGCTTAGCCTGATCGATCCGATCTCCATTCAGAAAACACGCATTCTGTCTGCAGACTTGTCAAAGCATTAATTCATGGTTTTTACTAACCGGTATCAGTATGTCTTTACTTCGGCATCATTTTGAAACGTGTATTACAATTAAATCACGGTAAAATATGTTCATTTTGTTGTAGTTGTAGCCCCGTAGCCAGCGCGTCTTGTTTGAATGATGCGAGTAAAACCAGTGAAACCAGGGTGAAACCAGTCTATGGGTGAAACCATGTCTATGGGTGAAACCAGTCTATGGGTGAAACTCGAGCGTTTAGAGCTAAACGAATATTCGCATCGCGTCCGGTGTGAAAGCAGCATAAGGGTCATTCCAGAATTGGAGGACAATTTAGACACCAATATTTTTGAAAAATTAACCTTTTATTTTATAATTTTTTTTAATGTATTTAGGAAAAACAGATAATAAACCATCAAAAAAAGTGATTTGCCCAGCTAGGCATCAAATGTATATTTTCCAATGAAGAATTACCCCTGTTACTCTAATTATAGTAACAGGGTTGAAAGTAACAGGGTTGAAAATCAATGCTAATTTGAGCTTTAACCTCAGGAATTATTGCTAGATGTAGCATGTAATGCTACTTTCAAGGCAAGGACACACTTGGATATCTAATGCAAGAAAGATAACTTTGAAATTAATATGCTTTATTCTGATAATATCAGTAACAGGGTTGAGTGGGTCAGAGTGCCACACTCTTTTAAGACTGAAAAGATTGTAAAAATATGAAAAATAAAAGAGAGGACTTAGTTTTGGTCTACCCATGGCACTAGCACATGGCTTGCTGATGTCACTTCCACTGTGTCATCTGACTTACAGTTTTTTCACTTCCTGTGCCAATCTAAAAAGGTTTGGGTTGTCACTGTCACTACCCGATCTGCAGCTCTGCCCGATCTGCAGTGCGCATGTGCGAGATGATCCGCCATATTGGACAACTCCGGACGGCAACCCAAGTAGGACAACATTGACACAGTGGCTTTTGGCAAAGCTCAAAAATAAAACGAGAGAGAGATGAGTTATTGTTATTATTACAACGTGACTTCACTATTATATAACAACTCTTTTTATTGGGTTCTTTTATTTGGGGTTAAGTACATTGTCAGAATAATTGAGAAATGCATTTAACTTCTGTTAGACAGCTATCATAGGCTATTGAATACATATTTACTGTGAATGTGTGCAAAAATGTATGGCATATAGCTGTCTAACAGAAGTTAAATTCATTTCTCACTTATTCTGACAATGTACTTAACCCCAAATAAAAGAACCCAATAAAAAGAGTTGTTAAATAATAGTGAAGTCACGTTGTAATAACAATAACTCATCTCTCTCGAGTTTTCCTTTTGAGCTTTGCCAAAAGCCACTGTGTCAATGTTGTCCTACTTGGTTTGCCGTCCGGCGTTGTCCAATATGGCGGACCATCTCGCACATGCGCACTGCAGATCGGGCAGAGCTGCAGATCGGGTAGTGACCATGGGTAGTGACATGGGTAACAGGGTTGAACCGGGTTGAACGCATGTTGAGGGACACACCTTCTGTGCACAATTACTGTTATTTAAAATATGTTTATGATTTAACAAATTGTTTTTACCATTACAAGAGACATATATCAATAGAATAATACCAAAAAAAGTAAATAAAATCCCTATTTTAAATGTTATATTTGACATGCAAGTTGGTCACCAATAAGCGGGGACAAGAGAAAAATGCCATTTTAGGGGATGTTCGAGAGCTATTTGATAATTTAAATAATATTTTGAAACCACTTTTTCTACAACTTTATATACATGTTGTCTCAAGACAAGTATGTTTAACACAACACGTGCATGTTTTAGCATTTTGGGCATGGATTATTAGATTCTTACTTACAGATCTGCTGATAGTAACTTTTGAAATGAAGTACATCAGCCACATCTACTGTATGTGGCTGATGTACTTCTAACCGGTCACAATGTGGGATTTGGGTAAAACATTGAAATCTGTAATCAGTTAGATTATACATCCATTTAAATAAATGTAAGGAATCAATCATTTTACAGAAATAGCCGCCACAGTAAATGTGCCATTTTTAAGTGTTTTATAACAATCAACAATCCAGATGAATATACAAATGGATTACTAGTGTGTACTACTTTATTTTATCACCTTTTTCCTTAATCAAAAGAAAACCACATAGACTAACCTAAATGTGTGTTATTTGGTTAGGCATAGTTTAGGGATAGTGGTAACATGGAATTGTACTGTTTTTCCCACTTTCCCAGAGTCAGATTATGAGAGATGCACTGGGACAGACATTTATAATGCATTAGGTGTATGCTGCTGTCCAACAGCAATATTAGGCTATCTGGGCTCAATTTAGTTTTCTATTGGAGCAAATAACATAATCATGACCCCATAGGCATCCATGAATTGTGGGAATTAAGCGAGTAAACTCAGAGGGGGGTGAAGGGTGCCTCTTCCCAAGCTTTGTCTGAGGGGAGGCCCACAGTCTCAGACTTTGAAAAAGACTGCTGTAGTAATGAGTCATGGCTATGTAGCTTTGCAAATGTCAAGTCTAAAAAACCATAGACTTAAACGTGATTAAAACTCCAGCCATGCTAGAAGCTCTGTTAGGATCTATTTGTTCACAGTGTGTGATGTGTCTTTTTTTTAACCTTTTAAAAAAAAAAGTATTCTTTATTCACTTTATTTAGAGACACAACTCATTAAACATGTGGGAAATCTGCAGGGCAGTTCTGTACAGAGAGAACAGGAATAATAACGCTCTCAAATATATAAAAATCCATATTCAGGAGTTTAAATTGTCTATTTGTGGGTCAAAAATTACAATACATTATACAGTGGCCCTGAAGTGCAAGACACTACAGCATTTCAGAAAACACTACAGCATTTCACAAAACACTACAGCATTTCACAAAACGCCACAGCATTTCAGAAAACGCCACAGCATTTCAGAAAACACAACAGCATTTCAGAAAACACCACAGCATTTCACAAAACACAACAGCATTTCACATTGGACGGAAAGGGTATTCCTTTAGGGAGAACACTTCTTGTTTGTGATTGGACAGAGCCAGCCAGAGAAGCACTGCTGTGATTGGTTGTTTTTGCTGCCAGTCAAGAAATGACGCTTCGTGATTGGTCAACACCCGACAGCGAAATATATCCCAACACATCAGCCGTTAGCACACACTCAGAGCTCACAGCTCCTCATATCTGTTCAGAAACTGGACAAAAGTTAAACATGTATAAATCACAGACTGTCTGTGTCATGGCGAATACAGTCGCTGCTTTATTTATGTCTGTATGAGGTTGTTGTGAGTGTGGACGGAGCAGCTAAGGTTAGTTTAGCCTGATGGATCCGATTCCATTCAGAAAACACGCATTTTAAAAGCTTTTCGCCTGCCGTCTTATCTGCAGACTTGTCAAAGCGTTAATTCATGGTTTTTACTAACCGTTATCAGTATGTAGTTACTTCGGCATCACTTTGAAACGTGTATTACAATTAAATCACGGTCAAATATGTTCATTTTGTTGTAGTTGGTATCTCCCATAGGATTTACTTGGAGATACGCCCCGCCCCCTCTCAGCGCCTCTTGTTTGAATGACAGGAGCAAACACCGCTGACAGCCGCGGTGAAACTCGAGCGATTAGAGCGATGCGAATATTGGGTGGTCTACCATAGTATTTACATGGAGATAAGCCGCTTAAAAGCCATGAATTAATAAAGCATTAATTCTGTGTTTACTCCTGTCATTCAAACAAGACGCTGGAGAGGGGGCGGGCCGTATCTCCATGTAAATCCTATCGGAATCGGATCGATCAGGCTAAACTAACCTGTAGCTGCTCCGTCCACACTCACAACAACGTCATACAGACATAAATAAAGCAGCGACTGTATTCACCATGACATAGACAGTCTGTGTTTTGTATATGTTGAACTTTTGTTCAGTTT